ATGAGAATGTCCCTTGCTTTAAGCATTAGCAGTTGTAAGTTATTATGTTAGGTAAGTTTCTGTAAATTTGTTTACACCGAAACACCTTGAAGTGTAGGATCAGCTGTTATTCCAATTTCTTTTTGCAGTCACCATTTTCAATCCTCAAGACTCTCATACAATTAGTGCTGATTAATTTGGCATAGATCACACATAAGTAGGAAGTTTGAAAAACTTTTTTTTTTTTTTTTTATCAGGATCACTACTCGAGCTATATGGTTGAATCTCGCGTGAGGCTTTAAAAATTATCAAATGGATTCGTTGGAATTGATTATAGATCCAGAATTACTATATCAAATTAATATGACACCGCAAGAATATATTTATTTAGAAAATAAATTTGTGAATTATACACAATGACGTGGTTAAATTACGTTGCGGTGTGGGTTCAAATTTAGAACATCCAAATAGTGTTCATACTTCAATGAGTTTTCCCTTTGGGCAATAGCATCCGGTTCGACATTCCTGTTATGGTCTTCTCAGGTGTGCTATTTCCACTCTTTCCGCCTTTTTATTTGAAGAAAACCATAAATTTTATTAGGGTTTTGATGAGTTGCAATCGCTGGGAGTACTTTTGACAAGGGTTTGGGGACAGATAGTGCATGCTTTGTGGATATATTGCTGGACTGTTTATGATCCTTGTTTTTCCTGAGGTTTTGTCCTTCTTTGTAGCTTCTACAAACATCATTTTCCTAATCAAGAACAATAGGCGGTGCCTAGTCTAATCTAGATCTAATGGATTTATTTATGTCTTGGTTCGTGTTTTGTTTTAGTTTCCAAATTCATCTTCTTGATTATCGTGATGATCAAGGGAGCTGTTCTGGTTTTATCTGCAATAAAGATAGTCCTCAAAATATATATTGGAAGAATAGCTTAAATTTTTGGGTTAATGGAGATGTTTATTTCCTCACATTTATGCAATTAATTAAGTCTTCGTGGTGCACAGGTCTACCGTCTGTATACTCATCACATGAAATATGGGCGACCTTTGGAAGCAACAAATGTTGGGAAGTATTAATATTAATTATTGATGGAAAAAACACGGGCATTAATTAGTGATGTAGAAGAGGAGAGCGTTTAGATTCCCATTGAGGATTCGATGTGGATGTTGCCAAAGGAAAGTTTGAAGAGTTGGTGTCGTGCTAATAACGAACCATCTTAAGAATGATGAGATTCTATATAGGGGATTGTGGACTCGTAAGGATCATAGAGTTATTTTATACATTGAATTTCTGTATATACTAATAAAAGAAAGATGGACATTGAATAAATTAACTAGGGAATCAACATATACATATATTGGAACATTAAAGTAGTAATTAATTCACGATGCTGTCGTGGAAAAAAGTTGACGCTTCATGGACTGTATGGTGATGCTTTATCCGGCTCCTCCTGTGTTTAGAACTTTTTATCCTGTTATTGGGTGTTGGTGGTACGTGTTGATTGTTGACCCTTAATTTGTTCGGCAAACATAATTCAGAAACAAATCATGAGAAATTACATCAACAACTTTAAATTTCAAAGAAATACTTAGATTCATTAAGCAGGCTTGTTTCCATAGGACCTGAAGGGTTTCTGTATTTATATAAAATAGGACCTGCGGTTGTCGCCACGACAGATGAGTGCAATTGTTTTTTTAAATAATAGTTGAGATTTTATTACCTTTTGGCTAATAAGGAGATAGCCAAAGAAGTAGAAAAAAAGGGCATCAACAGGGAGAAGAAAAAAGAAGCCATAAAGGCACGGCTGCTGCGACGAAAAAAAGAGAACAAAGACCAGGAAAAAAAAAATAGTAAGAGTCAGCTGTGAGTTACTCAGTTATTCTAGAATTTGATCCTATCAGAGCTAACCTCAATGCGTGAGAATTATTAATTCTATCAGATTTACTTGATTTTGTGTGAAAAGTAATCTCTCCTCAAAACTTGCATGTGGGTATGCATGCAAAAAGATTATTAAGAGAGATCGGCCATTTCTGGATGTCCCCAGCAATTCCGAATGCAATGCTTGAGTTGCTATGCATGCACTATTGCAAAGCTCTTAGGCTATAATATCCTTGCATAGAATTATTGGTGACCATTTCCATGTAAATCCAACAGTTTTTTTTGCCTTTCACGTTTAAAAAAATATAAAATTCGAAATTCCAGTCTTTCAGAAATTGATTTCAGCACACAAGATTGATTCTTCGTGTCTGGTTCGGTAACTAGGCACTTAAGATTTACCATCTCTCTTAGCACTTGAGTTAAACAAGAGTTTAACAAAAAAGGTATACTCTCTCGTGTAAGAATATGAACACTCGTATTTTCCTAGAACATGTTTGTTTCCATATAATTTTTCTAATGCTCTCAGTTAACACGAAATGTTTACCGACAAGGTTTTGGATACTTCTTAGGATCGGGCCTTTCAAATATCGGAGGCCTGTTTGAGGAAGGTCTGGTGAGGCATTTTCCCTTTCTCAATGGGCCGATTCCCCTTCCACTGCGATTTCATCAAAGCTAAAAGGGAATTTTTCATGGTAGGTGCCCTAACTTCTCACTTCTCTCAATCAAGTATATGTGTTTTCAATTTTGTACGTTTGATCCGTTAACTTTTCCCTGGTCTTCAACTAGAAAATTAGCGTGAGAGGCGTATAATTGTCAATTAATTTCATGCGTAATTGGCAATCTTGCGTGCAAAAGTTTGGTGGTTGGAAAATAAGAATTTGATGAAAGGACTAGGGAAATTATGACATTTATCGAGGTTTAAGGTAACACCATTAAAGATGTAGAGGCTAACTAGGATTTCATATAAGTTCGAATGGAGAAAGTTCGGTAATAATTCACCTCAGTTGAGTTCGAATGGAAAAGAAAGCCACTTATTTTTGTTTTTATTTGTCTACAAAAGCCACACATCACTCGAAATTTTGAGTTTATACAAAAAACATGTATGAAATTTTGTATGAATTACCCTACATGTATAAATAAAAAGAATTGACTAACTAATAAATTAAACCTCCATTTATTATTCTCATTTCAGCATGCATCAAACTCTAAATACACATATTCCCCTATCGTTTTTATATAATTGCCCTTCCTAGGCTTTAGCTTCATGTCGAGATATAGGATGAATTCATATTCTTATTAATTATATAATGATTTTATATAGAATGATGAAAAATATTTTATTTGCTAGAAAAAAGCTCTTAGATATTATAATAAATATTTATGGATCTAGTTTTTACTATGTTTATATTTTATTCATTGTTGGATGAATAAAAAAATTAAATATTTATATACTATTAAACTTGTTTTGGATATTTATAAATGTATTTATTATCTAAATGTTGTTTGTTATTTAACTTAAAATAGAGAGAGAAAATTTTAACAATATTTATATTTTTTTAATTACTCATCCAATAAAATAGCTATTAAAAAATCACTTAATTAAAAAATAATCGGTTGAGATCAATATTCAATAAAATTACAATCGCTGCTCTTTGCTACTTGGAAATCAATCTTCTCACTTATTACAAGGTCTTCACTTAAAGCCAGTGTACTGCCTGCCACGCGCTACCATTTGAAGTCCACAACAGTTGAAAGTGGTTTGGAACTACACTTTAAAGGCCGAACCCAGCTCTTTTCCCTTGGCCAAATTCCCAATACCCTGCTGCCACCACTACCTCCACGGGCATCAATACCCTCATCACCATTACCAGTTCACTTGCAAGTTAGATGGCATCACAAGACTCCCAACCATTCCACTGGCACTACGAAGAACTCGACGAAAATGACTTCCAAGTCCGTGGCCGCACTCTCTTTTATGTACTGATCGTCGGCTCCATGATCATCCTTATCGCCCTACTCTCCATCTACGCTCGCTGGGTCTGCCTTGAAAACACGCGGCATAACCTTCCCTCTAGGCTTCCTTTGCACCACGCGCCTCGCCTTCCTCCAAGAGGCCTCGAATCCGCGATCATCAAGGCTTTGCCGATAACTTTGCACAAATCAAATTTGGGTACCAGTAATAACGGCACTGCAGTCGAAAGCGAGTGCTGTATATGCCTTGGTGTGTTTGAAGATGGTGATAGGCTGAAAGTTTTGCCGCAGTGTCAGCATTGTTTTCATTGTGACTGCGTCGATAAGTGGCTTGGCACTCAGTCAAGTTGCCCACTCTGTAGAGGTTCTATCCGAGCTGAATCGGCTGTTTTATCGATCATAACAGGGTAAACAACACAGCCCAGATTTCTATTGCTGCAGATTATGTCTTTAAATGAACTAGATTGTTGTATTAAATCACGAATGTTTTTGAGAAAATTCATCGAACAGATGGCAATCATTACATATTGCAAGATATCTTGTAATTCTTGCACTGATAAAATTGAAAAATTCGCAGCTCGGTTGCGAACAGAGTGATCACATAAGCCTCTCTTTTTTCCCATCAATTATATGTAAATTCTCGTTCCATATCTGCAAAAAAGTTCTAGCTCTTGTAAATATATTCATAACCCAGACAAAGTTGTGACAACACCTTCTTAAAATTTTTAAACAAACCGAAGCCCAAAGTGACGAAAATTTCTAAATCATTTTCAGTTAAAAAGAACAGAAAAAAAAACAATTTCTATATCTTTTTCAGCATTTATAGCCAACATTAACTTCTTAGCAGAAATTCTACTGCTAACTGGTGTTTTACTGAACGTACCGCTTGCTAGAAATGAAATGCCTACCTAGCAGAGTGGGCTTCAGTTACTAGATTCACGTGGTTGATCTGCAAGGCAATTTTCAACTTTTTTTCTTGCTCTTGATCTACCAATCCTATAAATGCGGCCACCTAAACTTTCCCAAAAAACAAATTGGAAATTGAAATAACTTTAGTCCTCCATTAATATTTTCTAATTATTGACTCCTGGTCCTAGATTTGGGCTCACGATCGTAAGATGGCATTTCTTACCTCCTGTTTTTCATGTACACTTTTGTAACGGTATTAGATGTGGGTTTATCAGGCTTTCCGAAGTTGATTAGATTACATTCACAAGTGGGCCTAACTGGATTCGGGGTATAGTCCTCTAGCTAGTTGAGCCCATCTCGGCAACATGGCCCAATAAAATTAGGGTTTCATATCATTAGTATTTAACTACCGGCGGAGCCCCTAAACGTAGTACCTCTCTCTATCATTGTCCGCAGCCTCTCTGATTTTGAATCAAAAGAAAGAAGGAACACAGGGCTTGGATACTTTGTCACCATGAGAGCCAAGGTAATCGTTTCTTCTTCTATCAGGAAATTAACGAATTCATTAGCGTCTTATATATTCTTGTTTAGTTAGTACAAAATTGATCGATTGTTTATTTTTGTGTTTATTTAAACAAACAGTGGAAGAAGAAGCGTATGAGGAGGTTGAAGAGGAAGCGCCGAAAGATGAGGCAGAGATCCAAGTAGTTTTCTATTTTATCAATAATAGTGAAACTTGTCGTTCGTTTTAGTATTTCTTGTTTTTGTTATCAGTACTTCTTTCAACTGAGTAGATTATTTCCGTTTTAAATTTCATGATTTTGTTAGACTTTCAAACTCGATGGGAATGGGATTTTGGTTTCGCTTATTGGGCTTCAATGCTGTGTTATTACGATGATCTCTTGCTGTTCTTTTTCTTGTTTGAATTTGTGTCGACGGATTGGCACCAGTTCTGTCTGCTAGACCCCTAAACTAGGGTATGTTGATGATTGTTGTTGATTCATTGGGGTGTAGTTAAATGTCAGTTTAGGTGGTTGCTGAATCTATGTATGGATTGCTAGGGAAGAAGTTATCAGAAATAATTTTTCGCAAGTGCTCTTTGCCAATCTTGGGAATAATTAACGAGGATGCTTGAATCTGTGATTAACTTGGTGCTGCAATGATTCAGTATGGGGATGATGAGAGGATACCCTGATTTTAATGGTTATTGTGGTTTACATGAGTGGCTAAGTGTTAATAGCCTGTTTGTCATTGCGAGTGGACATGCATTTCGTTGTGTTTCAATTGAAAATGTGTTTGATATTTTTTTTTAATATTTTCTAATGATTTTAATGTTCAAACAAAAAAATCTAAAACAAATAAAAACAAAATATTTTGATGTGTTTTAAAATAAATATCATGCATCTCAATATTAAACACAATTAATGTTTGGCTCCCATTATGCCTGTTACGTATGCTCAAATTATTTGGATTTGATAATGAGTTGTGTTGATTGATTGTAAACTCATATTAAATATTTTGCCATTATGCCTGTTACGTATGCTCAAATTACTTGGATTTGATAATGAGTTGTGTTGATTGTAAACTCATATTAAATATTTTTAAAAACTGAATGAATTGATTTAGAAATGATTTTTTTGTTTGAACTGAATGAATTGATTTAGAAATGATTTTAAAAAAAAACACAAATATTAGAGGTAAAATAGAAACAGTAATGAATAGAATTATTGAATGATTTAATTCAGATTAGTACTTAGTTCATTCTAAAATATCAATGATTATTAACCATGTAATTAAATTTTAGTTGGTGATTATCTATAAAATAAAATTTATCAAAGTTAGTTAATTTTAAAATATTTTAGATTATTTTAAATACAAAAAGCAATTCTATAAAAAAATCATTTTTCACTCTTAAAATATTCAAAATCTGAATTATTATTTTTATGTATTTTGTTTTAAGACGAGCTGTAAAATCTTGAAAAACAATGCTCCGCTCCTTTTCCTATCACCTTCTGTTTTCAGTCTGTCTTGTGCTTATCACAATGTTAACAGGATAGCCTGTGATTCGGCACTTGCAAAACAAGGCTGTCATTTTTGTAACGTGTGAACTGTTACATATTGAGAGCAACCTCGCATCTTCTCTTCCGTCTTAACTCAATTCGAATGCTGTTTCCGAATCGAAATGGATGTCTTGTTCTCGCTGTGGCTATGCGTGAGTGTTGGGCCGAGGTGGGTAGTAAAAGGGCAGTGTCTTAATAATTGCAAAACCTTAAACCGTACGCGAGTACTCTTGATCAGAAAGGAATCAATCGGCCTATTTGAGAACCAATGACTGTAGCTTAATTGGTGTTTATCCCTCATTTCCCACTTGGGAGTGAGTATGAGCATGCATTCGGTAATATTTTTATAGTGGAAAAGGGGTTGTTTTTCTGTGATTTTGAACGATTTTGATTCATCAACGTTAAAATAATTGAGAAGCACCTTCTTCTATTTTTAGTTCAAACTACATCTTGACTCTTTTGTCAGAATAAAATGTTATTGCATTGAGTTTTCTAATGGGGAGCAAATTTTAACGTGTTCCGATCTCTCTCGAGTTGAGCCTTGCGTGGTATTGACTGATTGTGATGGCATATCTCATTGACGTTCTCCAAAGACAGTAGGTTTTCCGTTTTCGAGCATAGCAAGAATTAGGGCAACACCTGTACAGAACGCACGAATTAGGGTAGACTGCCCAGCAGAATCCGAGATCAAAACTGTGATCTCCAGTAATACTGTAACATGAAGAACAAGCCAGGCTGGCGACAACTTAGGACTGCCCGGTTGATTAATTAGGCATCAAATAAAAATAGGAACGACTAGTCTTATCTGCATTGTAAAACAAATAAATAAACTAAAAGCAGCAAGGATCGATGCAGTTCTCATATATCCTTTAGAGATCCAATTGTAACTCCATTTCGAGTCTTTAATCTATCAAAATAAATCCTAACTTCTTCTTGTATTATTTTCTGTATGAAAGCCCTCACGCAAGCCTCGTCCATCTCCTCTATACATCTCTTCTCAGCATCTTTCATGAATGACTCACCAAGATCCTTTTCTCTGCCATTTACGGCCACACCCTCCTTCAATTTCTCCGCCACAGCCATCGAAACAAAACCATCTCCCGGCGGAGATAATGTCAAGGACGTCTCAGGCCCATCCACTCCCACGTCTACATTAACACTATTATGCCCCGGCGAAGCATGCAAGCACTGTCTCTTGGACCCCGAGTCAGACTCAGACTCAGACACAACCGACACCTCCAAAGTCGAGCGTTTGAAAACTGGACTCGACTCGGATGACGCAGATGACACGCTCCCACGTTTTCTACGTAAAGTAGAGTTCCAATGATTCTTTATAGCATTATCAGTCCGGCCAGGCAAGAGTCTGGCAATCGTAGCCCACTTATTGCCGTGTATGGCGTGTGCCTGGACAATCTTGGCATCCTCCGCTGGCGTAAATGGGCGATGCTGCACCTCGGGTGAAAGCTGATTGCACCACCTTAGCCTGCAAGATTTCCCTGACCGGCCTGGTATACCAGTGCTTATCATAGACCAGTTTCTTGGTCCATGTTGCTCTACAAGCTTGATCAGAGTGGCATCTTCTTGTGGGCTCCAAGAACCTTTGATCCTGTCACCACCATTGACAGAACCCATGAAGAAGATGTGAGAGGTCGAATAAAATAAGTTGTTAATTTAGATGTTTATGTTTAATTTGTTTTGAGTACGTTCGTTCGTGGGAGGTTTATTTATGGAGGAGGAAAGTTAGAACTAATGTGGAGAGAGTGAGAGAGAGAGATAATAACGTTTATAAGAAGAGGAGAGGGTTGTTGTGTGTGAGCCGTAAAACCGCACGTTGCCATGACTATTTTGCTAGTTACACGCCCCTTTCTTTTTTAAAAAAAATAAAATAAAATTATTTGATAATTAATGTTTGCTTAATTTGGTTTTATAAGTTGTTGATCATGGAAGAGTACTTTCTGTTTCGAAGATGGCGTGGGTGAGATGGATGTTCTTAAAGAGAAAGAAATTAGTATTTGTTAACTGAACGGTTAGGTTAATACTTGCATTCAATGGCTGAAATTAGGGCTCCGAAACTGTGGCGGTTAGGTTTTCTTTTTGTGTTTATCTTGGAAATTAAATATAATAACGACCGACGGTTAGAGAGAGTACTTGAGGAGGGAGACCAAAGAATTGTCAAAGAACTGCACACGGTTATCAAGGGAGTTAGCTGAACTGAATTGCGCAAGAGAAAGAGAGAGTTGCAACGGAATTCATACGTTGCCGTTATTATAATATTAGCTATGCCTTCTTCTTCTTCTTCTTTTAACCATTGCATTATTTTAGAGTTCTGAAAAGAGTAAATATCAATAATTAATATTCTATAGATGCAAGAAAAAAAATTAAAAATTAAAAATATATTGGATCGATCCTACCAAAAAAACTATTCTATAGATGTTCATTACGAGATTTAATTAATTTCTTATTTTTTTATACTTGTTTGTTGAATATTCTATGCAATAATAATCGGAAAAAAAAGTATTTATATATAATGGTGCTCTATAGCATACCATGATATCTTCTATAAATAAATTTTATTTTTTTATACTTGTTTGTTGAATATTTTATGCAATAATAATCGGAAAAAAAAGGTATTTATATATAACGGTGCTCTATAACATACCATGATATCTTCTATAAATAAATCAATGGAATATTAGGTTTAACAAATGTTATGGTATATTGTGCATTAAATTAATAACATGCTTTAAATTTGACTAATTATATATAAATAAATATAGGGATAATTATTAAAAAAAAAAAAACCATGTAGTTTACTCTCTCTTTTTTTCCTTACTTTATCTCTATTTTTTTAAAAATTATACTTTACCTCCTGGATTTTATATATTAAAAATTTTCATCGACATATACTTTACCTCCTGGATTTTATATATTCTTAAAAATTTGCGTCGAGAAGCTGACGTGTCAAAAAAATAAAGATAAAATATCAATTGTGATTATATTTATTTACTAATTAAAGAATATTAATATTACAATTTTGTAAAGAACTATAAAGACATCAGCCAGCCACTGTAGATGACTTATTTTTCTTCCCTTTTCGTTTTCAATCTTTAGCAAGTCTACGAGAAATAATTAAAGCCATTATTTCTTGACATTGCTAGATTCGATTTTCTAGAAGATATTCGCACACAATAATCTATCCATGCTCGTGTAAATTCTCCAGTAATTACGAAAGCCCTTTATATATATATTAAAATAAGAAAAATCGTCATAATTAAATCTTGATCCTCAGATCTGGAACTGTTTACAATTCTACGCTGAAAAGGGCACAAGGCTTCGTATTCGTTTGGTTCATCATTGCAGCAAAGGACCCGGCTTTTCCAACCATCCAGCTTTAGAAAGCAAGCGGGAGGGACTTTATGGCTCCGTCGGCTAATCTTTCATATGATATCCTGATATTTGATAAGGAACCGCATGTGCGAGCTGGCCCACATATTGACTCCATTTTCGACCTCTACAGTGTTCGCATGGCATGAATCACAGTAAACAGAAAATTATAAATTTTAATTCTTATTCAAATCAATACTAAAAAATAAAAAGAAAGAACTACTTAAAAAAAATTAAATCAACTAGTTTAACCCGTCAAATCAAATTAACCCATTAAATTCAAGATCTATGTCATGAGAGTGTAATGAATAAATAGAAAAAAATTAATATTAATAAACTAAATTAAACAAAAAAAGATTAATTAAAAAAAAATCTATAACTAATAATATTTTTTAAAATTTATTAATTATTATATTAAAAATATTCATTATAATAAAAATAATAATATTTTTAATATAAATAATAATATCAAACTTGCATTGTCTAAGTTTAAGTGAATCTAGTTGCAACATCAAGTTTAAAAGCCTTAGATATAGTTGCAACACCAAACCCAAAAACCTTACATGTGGATCTGGTTACATGATCGTGTCATAAAATTATGATAACTAAATAAAACAATTAATATTAAAAAATAAAATTAAATAAAAAAATTAATTAAAAAAGAAAAAAAGCAAAGCACTATTTCAATGAATAATGCTTTTGCGATGAGAGGTAAAATAAAATTTTCTAATGAGATTGCAATAATTTAATAAAAAAATAAATCAAGAAATTTAATTCTCAATTAAATTGGTATTAAAAAAATAACATTAGAAGAAAAAAAGCAAATTAAAAAAAAGAAAAAAATATGAATTAACTGAGTTAACCTATTAAACCCGTCAAACTTGAAAAAAAAAATATTATTAATTAAAAATAAGAAGAAAAAAACCTTACAAGAAGAAAAAACTAATGAAGAAAAGGAACAAAAAATCTTAATTAACCGGGTTAACTTATTAAATTAAGTTAACTCGTCAAACATCCATGTCATGAAAGTTTGATGATTATATAAAAAAAAAATTAATACTAACAAACTAAATTTTGAAAAATAATTAAAAGAGCAAAAGGCAAAAAAAAAAATACTGAACAAAAAAAAGATTAATTGAAAAAAAAGAAAAAAAACCCTATAGGAAAAAAAACTAATGAAGAATTTTTTTTTTTTAATTAACTAGGTTAATTCGTCAAATCAGGTTAACCTATCAAACCTGAGACTCGTGTTATGAAAAATTGATAATTAAATAAAAAAAATTTAAAATTAACAAACTAAATTAAATAAAAAATAAAAAAAATCCGAATTAACCAATTAAATCTAGAATTCGTGTCATGAAATTTTAATAACTAAATAGAAAAAAAAATTAACATTAACAAATTAAATTAAAAAAATATTTATTAAAAAATAAAAAAACAATGAAATTTTTAACTGTATATAATACACAATAAAAAAACTGAACCGTTTTAGTTAGAGGTAATATTTAAAAATTCATCATCCTACCTCTCTTGGCAGCTGCATCTCATGTACATTATCCAATCAATTTATTTTATCCTTTTTAATTTTAAATTAATTTATAATTCACAATTTACATTTGAATTAATTTATGGGATTTTATGTGATATATCATAAGAAATAGGGACCGGCCTAGTTTCTTGGACCCATCCTAAAAACCCTATTTTTCAGGAACTAATTGATAATTCTCTGCTCAATAATTTTACCAAAGTTGGTGTCCCTCTCAATAAGGGGTGGGATCAAATTCGATTTCTATTAGCAGTAGTGATAGTACTTATGTTATAATATTACTATTTTTTATTAAAAAAATATCATAATATCAGTCCTATTGCATCAAGGAACTAAATTAGGTGGGGGATTTAGGTTTTACTTTAGAGCTAGGGGACATTTCCCAGAATTAGGGATTTTTCTTGGAGTTTCCGTGACTTTGGGGCACAAGGCCACCAGGCCCTTGAATTTATCCCTGGTTTAATTAATAAGAAAATTATAGAGTCCAAAGGATCTAGAATTCTTAATAATAATAAAAAAAACACTTACGAAGAAAAGAAAGTATTCCGAACTTCCAGTATAAATCAAGGTTCATTTTTCTTATTTGACAAATACATCACACCAAATTAATCGATGGATTTCTCAACACAATCATGACTAGCATTGAGTCGAAAGATTCTGCTCTGAAAAAAAAAAAAGAGTTAACCGGGGATTGATATGGCTGGTGCGGCTTCTCTCACATCTTAGAAGTGAGCGAAATTCTTTCAAAAAAAATATCCAATAATTTCAACAAACGGGGTACCAACCTACACTTGATTTTTTTGGGGACGTAAAGTTGCTTTATGGGAAGCAAAAAGGATCCCTTCTATGGAAATTGAACCCCACTTTTTCTCTGTAAATAAAGTGAGAACCCACAAAATAATTGGCGTTCTATGCCTGCGCCACCGCCACCAAGGTTTCTTGGAATGGTGGCATGGGAGAGAAAGCATCGGGTTAGAAAGGAAAGAGGCGTACCATTAGAAAGGAAAGAAATTTCAATATATCTGATTATGTATATTGCTGTGACAGATGAGAAGGCAAAAAGAACCTCTGCCTCTTGCTTCTAATACGGTAATTTGATGGCACTGATGATGAAGCAATTCGACTCAGAACAAGATTAAGTGACTGTTTAATAGTGCTGATTGAAACACCTCCCTCTTTACTGCACTTATTGCAAAGTACTAGTATGCCTTTAACCCTTCCACCTACACTGGCAATATCGGCTCTAACAATGGTTAGTCTAAGGCCCTTGAGCACTCGAATAAGCTCCGAAAACAGTTCTGGCCGATCATCGCAGCAAACAGAAGCCCTGATGAACGTGTTGTCCTTGTCTTTGTTGGTGCTGGAAGGGTTTGTAGCTTGAGGAACATCACAATCAACCGTTACTTCATCAACTTCAGTTGGGATTGTGAAAGTTCTGCTGATTTCCATTGCTTTTTGCTTGAGATCCTTCACATAATCAATCGCGCTTCCTAGAAGAGCTGCCTTGTCCATCTGTGCAAGGAAAGATTGATTCATCTCAAGTTCTGTTGTCAGTGAAGATCTAATACAGAATCAGTAATCTATACACTTTTACCATATTTTGTCAAAGGAGCTAAATAATTTAGATGCATGATCTCTCTTATACCATTAATAAAGATTGATGGGATTGAAACCAAAAACCGTTTCTAGTGAGGGTATGTGTTGGGCAATATGTAAAATTCGCTCCCTTATTTGATGCTTCAACAGGACATCCTTGAGTAATTGACAGAAATATCTAGCCATGCCGTTAAGGTTATGTTGATTAGCGCATGTTTATGTAAGGAGGGGTTTGTGTACCTTTTCTGATTTGGGAATGAGTTTCCTAAGAATTCCCAGCTGTGCATTAATCCTGTCCCGGCGCCGCTTCTCAGCTTGGCTATGACTCTTGGAATTAGAAGCAGCTTTATTCTCCGAAGTCTCCTGAGTCGGTAGAGACCACGAAGGGAATCCATTAACTTGAAAGTTGGCAGAAGCAGAGGCATGAGATGGGCATGGCACTAAAAAGGACTCATCATATACTGCAGCACTTGGTTGAACCCAGTTTGCCTCTGCAGGAGCAGCAGGCCAGCAAGGAGAATAGTGATCTTCCATGTCTAAGCAAAAAAGCAAGCTTTCTTTGTAAAATCTAAGCTATTACTCTTCCTTCTTTTTATCCTGAATTCATTGTACAGCTACTGTATCTGCACTAATAATGTGTGATCTTCATATCGTGATGGTGATTGGCGTGATGTCTAGTTAACTTTAATGGTCAGATGAAAATCATGTTTGGCCATATTAGGCTGTCACCTCAACATGAATTTACTTGGATAACTTCATGCCAAACAAAGTAACTCCGTGTGGCTAAAACATCGTACTGAAAAGGAACAGTTGCGTGAAATCAAATTCAGATGAAGCATAAATAACTGCTTTGGTGGTGGGAAATCATAGATTGACCTTACTGTGGTAGTTGATCTACCTATCTACTATCTAGAGCATCGCTCCGTTTCTGTTTTGTGATTATCCGTGCATCATTCTGTCACTACAGACTTGCGACGCTTAAATTCTCAGATTCTGCGCACTTGAGTCAATTAGTTGTTTTATTTCCGACTACTTATCCATGAGTTGTTTTCTATTTCCTTGTCCTTGTGTAAGTTTCTTAAAGAATGAAGTACCATTGAGCCCACAACCACTTGCTCTACTGATTGAAACTGGCATCATGTTTATGTGTCCTGTCATGCATCGTATCCTTGATCTCATGTCTTTTACATCTACAATTTTGTTCAACTGCTGCAAATTGCAATGGAGGGATAGGGTTTAGCAACGAAACAAACTAAAGGATAGCTCTTGTGATTTCAAATATCTATCATTCACTTCTGTTTTGCTTTCAGCTCTCTTACCATCTCAGCTGGATAATCTAGAAAATCTATGGACCTTTCATTTTGGTGGCTTGTTTTGTCCACCTTCAACTGTTCAGTGTTAAAGACTGTCCTTGTGTCCTGCACAAGCAAACAAGAGCCCTACGATTACCATCACCAATGGCCCCAATAGCACACAAACTCTGCAACTCACCATAAAGAGGGTTAAAGATTGATACGACCTTCGATCAACCACTCACGTTCAAAATTTTCTCTCTCAGGATTGTGTGGTGTCCATAATCCTGCGTTATTCTGTTTAAAGCTTACCCGTGCAGTGTTTTCCTCGTTTTCTCCTTTCCTCCCTAAAAGATTGCTTCAACAAACTAACCAAACTTAAGAGCCAAAAACACGAACAAAATGTGCCCAAATCCAGGTGCTTATCAGGAAATGAATATAACCAGATACGTTTTTGTCAAGCACGATAATGTATCAAGTTGGACGCCTATCTACTTGGATTTTGGTCAGAAATAACGGCAATTTATTAAAAGAACACGAAAAGAGAGGGGGAGAGGGAGAAATCTCGGTTAAGGACACAAATAACGACACAACTGAATGCTACGTTACAATATAGCACTCACAAAAGAACAAAACTTGTGTGCCACTGGCAAAGAGATGCTCCTTCTACACTATAAAAACCTCACATATGGGATCAGCCCGCTTATGTACATATAACATACAGAATGACGGTATAATATGGGTTAAGCTTAAGATCATTATCATCAAATAAATAATAAAATAAAATTTGAAAACTATGTCATTCATGTAAGATTAAGAAAACCAAAAGGGCATCCTGATACATTTTCCTTCGATACATAAATGCCAGCCAAGCAATTCTTTGTACATTCATGCATGTATCTTGTCTAAATGACATGAAATTACTAACAAATATAAGAAACTTGTGCAAATACCTGAATCCAAATAGTTTGTGATCTTTCTGTGGATGTATCTGAAGAGGCAGCTCACCTAAATAGCGGAATCCCACCAAATTCCACCTTAATACTCATCAAAATGGATTGCACCAACTTTCCAGACAATGTAAGTCGTTGCAAACATTATTGTGCTGATTAAAACAAATGAAACGACAATGAAAAAGAGTTCTGAACCCCCTGGAAATTGAAAAGTCCACCCCTCCTTTGGCAACCCTCGCTTGCTGTCATCAAACATGTTTTCAGGGGCTTCTGGAAGGCCAGATCTTTTCTTGCCCTCGTCACTTTCTCTCAGGGCATCCAATACTTTCCTGCCCATCTCTGATTTTGATGTCTTTGATTCTGTGTAACGGCTGATAAATCTCGCAGCCTGTAGTCTCTCTCTTGCTGTTAGAGGCGACCTTTTTGGCCTAGACTTTATATCCACCAAAATTGTTGAGCCATTGGAAGCTCCAGAGGTTTGAGGTCCTGACTCCTCACCAACATTGTTTCCTACTGCAGAATCCTCAATTGGGGAATTCACTGCTGACAGCTGATTGTCATAAATTGAGCTCTCAGCACCTCCATGACCCTTCACGCCGGTGTCTGTGACAAGACAATCATTATCTACAGCTGAAACAAATAACCCTCTTCTTCTTCCATTTATTTGTATCCTTGAAGCAAGCATATCCAAGGAGGCGGCCTTTGGTGTAGACACATGATGGTATTTGGTTTGCAGCTTTTAACGGAGAAAAACTTTGTTAAATAATCTCGAGAAATAACAGTCACCAAAAATGTCTAAACCGCATCAATTGAAATAATCCAGTGCATAGATATTAAGGATGCTGGATGGCAAATATGCAAAAGAAATAAGAAAATAAAAGAAATTATAAATTTGTTTTATTTGAGTAAAAGTTAACTTGAAACATTAGAACCATGTCTTTTTTCCCCTTATAACTGATAAAAATAAAGGTCCTTGAACTATCAAAGATCAACATGAAACAGAAGAAAAGCACCAAGCATCACTGATGCAGAAAAATGTACTCGCAATTGCATATCTTGCAGGATCAGGATAATTATATCCCAGGCTCATTTAACTAGAACGTTTTTACGGGGAGGGGGGGGGGGGGGGGTTGACAGAAAAAATGTGCACAAATGGAGCAACTACCTTTTACCTTTTTTTACGAATAGCTTCAATGAACTTTCACGAGCAAAATCACCTTATTTCAAGTGCTAGGAGAAACATTGCAGAAGATTAATTGAAGGAAAAGATTACCAACAACATTAATTTCAGATAGGTCATGTTTCCATGCAGAAAGGGGAAAAAAAAGAGAAGAAGAGTTTTTCATTAAGCATTGACTATACACTTTTTTCCAACACTATTATTCTCCATAAATTAAACGGTTGCTGAAATACTAATAGGAAGTAGACCAAGAAGGGATGGAGAATTAGAGATGAATGTCACAAGAGACTTCATAGTGCGACCAAAAAATTAACTTTGATATCATAAAATTGTGATCTTCATAGAATCTTTAGCCAGACAACTGGAAAATCGTGTTTCATTTTGCAAGAGAATGATGAAAAAGGGTATTGAATTAACTGAATAAACCAATGAGTTGCTACATCAATTCTAATTTGAGGCCAAGATTCCCGTTCAATCGTTATTAGGATAGCCCAATTAGCAATATCATTCTTCAACTATTAATAAATCAATAAATTAATTATTTCTAGAACTCTAATCTGAGTGTTAATTTTTTCAAGTGCCTCAAAGAAGCCTAGGCAATTAGCAAGAAGTACTGTCACAGCAAAAACATGAGGAGAAAAGATAAAAGCAGCAGTACAGTTTTAGTACAAGAACTTAATGAAGAAAACCCAAAAGAGATAACAGTAAATAAGACGGCAAGTTTTGAGGAGCCAAATAGCAGAAAGGAGATTACCGTAGAGTTGAAGCCAACAGCAGAATTTAGAGAAATTGACATCGTCTCCTCCTTTTTACGTCCCGACCTTGTAACATTCAGTAATAGACACAGAGAGTCTTGTGATTTCAGTGAGTCCAGCAGCTGTGCTTGTGCGAAGAAGAGTGGATGCCCTTGTAACCAACCCAAGGAGATTAGCTGATTTGCTACCACCACTTTCTTTTACAAAGCGTGTAATCCACCGTCCAATTCCCGCTTATTAAAATATGTAAACTCCACGCAGGAAGTGTGGCAAACTGCACCTCTATTATGCTGACACGACACTGTCATCGTTGTTACAAGAATTGCCCGGTTCGGAAGGTTAACTTGGCGGCTCATTGATTAATGCAGCCAGTGCAAATTGCATGATATATTTTTAGATGTTTTTAATGATTTTGATATTATAATATAAAAAATATAAGAAATATTTTTTTAATATATTTTTAATTAAAAAATATTTTTATATCATGATATTCAATACATAGGAAGAAACCTATAACTTTTTTAAAAAAATAAGTTGTTTTATGTTTTTATTTTCTAAAAACAATTACCTGTATTTCTTGTGACCATATATCTTGGCTGAATTATGATTTCCAGTGTCTCGATTTCATCCCAATCACCCCCCACACCTTCAATGTAATTTAAATTTCCGGCCTCTGTTCATCTCCGCCCATTCTGCCAGTAATTAAAGAGAATTGCGTGTGAATTTCAATCTCATTTCTGAGATTCATGAAAAACTCAATATTACCTCGGTAATGTAATTTCATTTAAAGCATTCTCATGGAAGCAGAAAGAAAAGTATCAACAGGTCATTTGAAACCCACCAATTGGTACGGCGCCTGCAACCATGTAACACTCTACACTGATGCCCAGGTGTTCATTTTTCACGGCCAGCATTGCGGTGATGGAACCTCCCAAAACTCTCGCCAAAGTCCAGTAAAGTGTGTTTTGATCGGAAGGGGGTTTTCTGGATGTAAAATATACTCCATGTAAAGGCTACTGTTTTGAAGAGAGCAGAGAAGAGCAATTTGCAAGAATTGTGTCGAACATTTTTTGCTCGAGATCAGAATATTTTCCTGTACTTCTCTTTGTTTTTGTACCGAAACTGGCAATGATAGTATTGTTGTTTGAAACAAATACATCCAACATTGTCACTTTCTCGAAACTGGAAAAGAAATCAACAGTTGTCATTACCTCAGTTTTGACTAAAACCAGTCAAAATAAAAATGTATTGTAACCCTGAGGGTGTAACAGATTTTATATTTGATTTTTAGTAATTACAATTTTGACTTTTTTAATTTTAAAATTTATAAAATTAATGAAGACATGCACAAACTAATTTAAATATTCATATTAATAAAAAAAAAATATTATTATTTATTCTTTAATCAACTATTTGATTAGTTAACAAATGTGTACTTGAAAGATATTCCCCTACATCACTTTTTTCTTTTTAATGTTCTCTATTTCATTCAAATACACTTATGAGGATGTTCTCGTATACTTCATGCTTGCCTTCACTCCTTTTCTTTTTCCTTGATAAATAAGTCATTTAGTAAGAAGGAAATGAATATATATATATATATATGTGCGTGTGTGTGTGTGTGTTCTCGACAAAAGTGGGGTTTAAACTTAAAACTTGTGTATTAAATTTAAAACAAATCATTTTACCTCTTCATTACAATCTTATCTTTGAAAGAGTTGAAATTTTTTATCTATTTATTATTTTAGGTTTTTAGTAATCAGATAATTTTCATATCTTAAAACTATATTTTTTTTTATACATATTTTAAATACATCATTCATATCCAAACACCTTTATTCACTAAGAAAAGCTATTAGACCAATAATATGCTCAACACAACAAAAGGAATCACACAACTTGTTTATCAATTATCATAGTAGAAAACACCCTATGATCTATCGATATCCCTGCCAATGATTAACAATACCTGCAAGCACCATCTCTCTTCTTCTCCTTCCTTTCTATAAAAATAAAAAATGACAAATTGCATTCACAATAGCCACACGCATCCACAGGTTGTGTATCCCGTGCGCGTGTACAGCCGAAGCTCGAGTTATTCAGAGCAACAGTCCTTAAAAATGCCACCACCTGATCTCTGGTACGACTTGAGAAAGTCATTGAGCGAGAAAACAACTAGTACCATATGATGTTACAAAAAACACCGGCCAGCAGGAAGAGCCCCAAGTGGGTCTGGTCTAACTGAAGCTCACGCCAACGTTTTAACGGTTGGTTCAGACATTTGCAATCGTAGCGAAACAAATAAGAATTACTAACAATTGTCGGATTACAGTCATGGAATGCAGGAGAAGATGGGGCAGGCCTACGTCCATAATAACATGTGGACATGATTAATGCAGCCAGTGCAAATTGCATGATATATTTTTAGATGTTTTTAATGATTTTGATATTATAATATAAAAAATATAAGAAATATTTTTTTAATATATTTTTAATTAAAAAATATTTTTATATCATGATATTCAATACATAGGAAGAAACCTATAACTTTTTTAAAAAAATAAGTTGTTTTATGTTTTTATTTTCTAAAAACAATTACCTGTATTTCTTGTGACCATATATCTTGGCTGAATTATGATTTCCAGTGTCTCGATTTCATCCCAATCACCCCCCACACCTTCAATGTAATTTAAATTTCCGGCCTCTGTTCATCTCCGCCCATTCTGCCAGTAATTAAAGAGAATTGCGTGTGAATTTCAATCTCATTTCTGAGATTCATGAAAAACTCAATATTACCTCGGTAATGTAATTTCATTTAAAGCATTCTCATGGAAGCAGAAAGAAAAGTATCAACAGGTCATTTGAAACCCACCAATTGGTACGGCGCCTGCAACCATGTAACACTCTACACTGATGCCCAGGTGTTCATTTTTCACGGCCAGCATTGCGGTGATGGAACCTCCCAAAACTCTCGCCAAAGTCCAGTAAAGTGTGTTTTGATCGGAAGGGGGTTTTCTGGATGTAAAATATACTCCATGTAAAGGCTACTGTTTTGAAGAGAGCAGAGAAGAGCAATTTGCAAGAATTGTGTCGAACATTTTTTGCTCGAGATCAGAATATTTTCCTGTACTTCTCTTTGTTTTTGTACCGAAACTGGCAATGATAGTATTGTTGTTTGAAACAAATACATCCAACATTGTCACTTTCTCGAAACTGGAAAAGAAATCAACAGTTGTCATTACCTCAGTTTTGACTAAAACCAGTCAAAATAAAAATGTATTGTAACCCTGAGGGTGTAACAGATTTTATATTTGATTTTTAGTAATTACAATTTTGACTTTTTTAATTTTAAAATTTATAAAATTAATGAAGACATGCACAAACTAATTTAAATATTCATATTAATAAAAAAAAAATATTATTATTTATTCTTTAATCAACTATTTGATTAGTTAACAAATGTGTACTTGAAAGATATTCCCCTACATCACTTTTTTCTTTTTAATGTTCTCTATTTCATTCAAATACACTTATGAGGATGTTCTCGTATACTTCATGCTTGCCTTCACTCCTTTCCTTTTTCCTTGATGAATAAGTCATTTAGTAAGAAAGGAAATGAAAAATAAATAAATAAATATACACACACTACAAAAGTAGGGTTTAAACTTAAAACTCGTGTATTCAATTTTAAAAAAATAATTTTACCTCTTCATTACAATCTTATCTTTGAAAGAGTTGAAATTTTTTATCTATTTATTATTTTAGGTTTTTAGTAATCAGATAATTTTCATATCTTAAAACTATATTTTTTTTTATACATATTTTAAATACATCATTCATATCCAAACACCTTTATTCACTAAGAAAAGCTATTAGACCAATAATATGCTCAACACAACAAAAGGAATCACACAACTTGTTTATCAATTATCATAGTAGAAAACACCCTATGATCTATCGATATCCCTGCCAATGATTAACAATACCTGCAAGCACCATCTCTCTTCTTCTCCTTCCTTTCTATAAAAATAAAAAATGACAAATTGCATTCACAATAGCCACACGCATCCACAGGTAGTGTATCCCGTGCGCGTGTACAGCCGAAGCTCAAGTTATTCAGAACAACAGTACTTAAAAATACCACCACCTGATCTCTGGTACGACTTGAGAAAGTCATTGAGCGAGAAAACAACTAGTACCATATGATGTTACAAAAAACACCGGCCAGCAGGAAGAGCCCCAAGTGGGTCTGGTCTAACTGAAGCTCACGCCAACGTTTTAACGGTTGGTTCAGAAATTTGCAATCGTAGCGAAACAAAAAAGAATTACTAACAATTGTCGGAATACAGTCATGGAATGAAGGAGAAGATGGGACAGGCCGGCGTCCATAATAACATGTGGACGCGCCCAGATCGTTAATCTGGAATTCAATATGCAAACGGATAAACATTTACAAACATGTGATGTAAGCAATACCTGGTCGAAAAAAACACAAGCAGCTAAATTTAAAAGAAAATAGTTGACCTACAAGAAGAAAGATGGAGTTAAACTAAAAACCATTACAGACTAAGTAGGTGCTTTTATGATTTGTATGAAACAATTCGCACCATACTCGGGCTAGCTTCTAGACCGCAAGGGAAAAAATAATATAGATACAGGAAATCCTCAGCTTGCTCTCTACCAGCAGCCAAAATATGACTCCAACCAAAAGAATATTACAACACTTACCCACACACCTAAGACCAAGGAAAATTGGCAAGTTCATGATTTCAAGTACACCTCCATCCCGTCAAAACAAACGCCAAGGAATGAATGAAGGCACCAAAGTCCACAAAAAACCATCATATCAAATGCCCGAACAACTAGTATACTTCTTTTCTTGAAGCAACTGGAAATTTGCAGCTAATTCTACAAAAAAATGGTGGGTTTCGTATCAATAGCTGCCCATTGGTGGCATGCCAAAAGGTGGCATTGGAGGCATCCCCATTCCACCCATGGGTGGTGGTGGAGCAAAACCTCCCCCCATTGTTGGTCCACCCATACCGGGCAATGGCGGCGCAGGCAAAGCAAGAGGAAGTAACTGAGCATACATATTCTGCAACAAATCACATGAATCGATCAA